GCATTCAGAGAAGCAACCCTGGGACTTGTGCAGTCTTCAGAGGAGGATAACAGTCAAAGTGGAGGCAACTTGCGCATGGCTGTGACTTTCCGAGCGGAATCGCGCATACATTGCATGGGGACCTCTTCCCAAGGATGTTTACTGTTTTCCTAGATTAGTTAATTTTCTTAACTAGTTAACGGACTGTAATAATTAGTTAGCTCGTAGTTAATTAATTGTATTATTCTTTTGGTCCCTTCGAGCGAGGGCGAATTTGTAATAAGTGTGGGTGCGTGTGTGCATGTCTTCCAATCCCCACTTCTTTCTCCCTTTTACTTACTTGCTTTCGATGGTTAGTGTTAAGGCATATTTAATTTAGCATACCTTATGCTATGCATGCGTGCATTCATACATTTGTCTTGCATGCACCGGGCTCGGCGCATCATGTAACTGCATTTGTATTTCAATTCCAAATTGAATACGTGATTAGTTGTAGCATTTCACATGTCATTATAGATTAGCCGAGCCTATCTTAATCGCATTCTGTATGCGTTGCATTAGCCACTTTAACATAAACTAGGATCACGCATGTTTGCTAACTAGTTTATTGTTTTGGCACGGAGTACATTGTAAGTATTTATGCTTTAGCATACCGCATGCATGTGAGTGTTGCCATAACAGCATGATTACCATGAGGCTAGCTGCTTATGTGATATAACTGCTTGGATGCCTGTGGATGGAGGTTGAATTACCTAAATTGGAATAATGCATTAAAACTGTGAGTTTTAAGCCCACTAGATAGTGGCAAATACCAACTTTTCTAAAAGCCCACTCGAGGGTGGCAAAACCTACATTTTAGCCTATTTGCGAGTAGCAAACCATTTTCAAAACGAACATGTAATGTTTTGTTCCAATTTAGGCGATTTGGTCTATACTTGTTTGCTGCGCGCATAACATAGTAATTCTAAGCTAATAAATGGAATAAGAACACATAACGTTTTCAAAACTGGATATCACGGTTAGTAGAGGCCGATCTTCGGATCGGGCGAGAGGGGGTGCTCATAGCTGACCTTCCCCAATCGTACCCAAGTTCCCGAGCCGAGGCAACTTTGGTGATGACGGACACGTGGCCTTGGGCAAACGAGTCAGGGTTTCCTAAATTCCCCCAAAATAAAATATTTAGCTGGCGACTCTATATCTGGCAAAGCAGTCCATGTTTGGCACTTCTTTCAAAATCTGTTTTCTCAAAACAATTTGCCGGATTTGGACTCTTTGGTTCAGATTAAGGACCGTGACAATTCGAGAGTCCGAACTGTAGTGAGCCCACATACGAACAGAACAGGACTCATCCTCCCGAGGCGTTCAGGGACGTCTACAATGTACTTCGTAGTTACGTTGCAATTGGTTGATCTGAACCATTCATTCTATTTTAGTGAAATCTAAGCCATCTGGACTCCCATCACAATGATCCAATAGCCCTTTCCAGCTATTTGACGCATTCTGGACCCATCTGTACGATTAAAATTTGCAAATTCAACTTAAAAAAAAAATTGTAGATTTTATTCAAATGTCATGGAAAAGTGGTTTAGAATTATGCTCTCACTCCAAGAACAAGAGTTCAATTCTCACCAGCAACAACTTTCTTTTTAATTTTTGCTAAGCCACCAAGCCAAGCCATCTAACTCAGCAATATAAAAGCAATTATCCATTGCTTCGCGGCAAACCATTCTCAACCAATTTGAGCCATCAGTTATATTTTGGCTACCATTACGCCACTAGGAGTTTGATTCCAACGATCCAATAGTTATTTCTAGCTATTTTGAGCCATCTAAACACATCCGAGCGGTCTAATTTTGCAAATTCTAAGTCACATATTACGATGAATGCATCGGCCAATCGGGAACATTAAATGCAAAATCAACGGTCAAATCATATCCAATTAGCATGAAATTTTAACAGCAGGATCTTGGGGCTAGGAAATAATCCTCCGTCTTCCCCGATCAGCCATTTCGTTACCTTGGCTATATTTTTTTTCCGCTTTCCTATTGGGGCATCTCAGCCGATCAAAATCTTGGCACCTCTGCTATATTCGACCAACTTGGTACAAACATTACAACCAAATTTACTAGAGTTACAAACTTCTGCTCCTTTTCACACCGTTCCGAGCAAGAGCCAGTTTTGGGGCAATATATTACACACTTGGCAGTTGGCAGCTCGTATATTTTCGCGCGCTATCATTTTACCAGAGTCGACTCTGCCCCGCACCATAGGGTAGTGGGGCCAGCCCAATTTGTTTTCCTACCGACTAACACCTATCATTCGAAAGCAATGGGGCAAGTCTACATTGGACTAAATGCAAAATGCAAATCGGCCAATGCTAATTGGCCCAACATTTACTTGGCAATTAAATAGGCCATCACTGTCAGGATGCATCATTCAAAATCCTTGCAATATTGACACTTGATTGCCACTTAAAATCAACAAAAGTTTTCGAGTTCAGCGTAATCTTCGCACTCGGCACGGAGCGCCATCAACAAAGGCTTACACCCATGCCTGGGGGTTAGAATACAGCGGCCTACACCCATGCTCGGGGGTTTGAATACCGCGGCCTACACCCATGCTCGGGGGTTACAATACCTCGGCCTACACCCATGCCCGGGGGTTATAATACCGCGGTCTACACCCATGCTCGGGGGTTAGAATACCACGGCCTACACCCTCTCCTGGGGGTTATAATACTAGGGCCTACACCCATGCCCGAGGGTTAAAATATTGCAGTCTGCACCCATGCCCAGGGGGTGGAATACAGTGGCCTACACCCTCTCTCGAGGGTTATAATACTGTGACTTACACCCATGCCTAGGGGTTATAATACCGCAGATCTACACCCTCGCCTGGGGGTAATAATATTGTGGTCCTTTTTTTTGTCGCTATATAGATTTATTTTATTTACATTATTTCGTTTAGGCAATCATTTTTGTGTTCGGCACATAAAAATATCTCTAGCTCAGCATGAAAGTGCATATTTTGAAGTGCTCTTTGCACTCGGCGATATACTACACCCTCGCCCGGGGGTCCTAATACCACGGCCTACAGCCCTTGCCCAGGGGTAACAATACTGTGGCCCATCGTTATGATTTGTTTATATTCCTTTTTGGGTTTTAGCTCACCCCCCCAATCCTATGATAGACATACGTACATTTATACATACATTCAAGCATACATGCAGTCATTCATTCATACATTTTATTCATTTATCCAAAGTATTTTTTATCAAAAAACCTAATAGCTATTTGAACAACGTAACTCGGCAAGAAAAACTCTCATTCCTTCTACCATAGACAATGAAAGTTTTGGGGCAATTGTGGGAGCCAAGAAAAAATATATATATCAGCTTATTGGGGTTAACCCAAACGAGGCCTACAATGGGTCTAGTCCAAACAAATATCACACCCCCCATCTATATAAAGGGGGACATCCCAGAAGATGGGGTAAGTCATCTCTCTCTACACTACACACCAAGCACTCTACATTTTCTAGACCTTTATTCTGTTTATCAAGTGACTGACTTCACCATCGGAGTGTCTCTGGCTGGCAACCCCAGTTAGGTGGTGCCAATCATGCTCATCTTTGCAGGTCTACCAAGACAAAGTCCATCTCTTTGTTGGATCTCTACAATCCATGTGAGAGGATATTTCTTGGTCTCACAATTACAATATGATATATCCTCGCATATCTCTCTTAAATTAAAAGAAAAACAGGAAAAATAGAAGCTTTAGGGGGGTCTCGGAGATTTTCAAGAGTGTTCTGCTCAATGCTGCGACGCTGCTAGGTTTTGTGCAAGAGAGGTTGGCCATCCAACTGAAAAGTTAGTCGGCCAGCCAATCAAGCCAACCAAAACTCAGTTTTCTATTTTTCAAGCACCAAAGGCAGAAACAAGCAGGCAAAATAACCACTCCCAATTAGAGTATAACAAGCTTACAATATGAAATGAAATGACATTAAAAAAAAAAAAAAAAATTTACTCAAAATAAGAAAGTAAAAGAGAAGAAAAGTTTGCAAAATTCACCTTCTAAGAAAAGGGTCATATTTCCAAACTTCCTTTTGATCACTCTCAAATTTAGGAAGTGTATTTCTTAGTTCTCAATTTGAAAATTCGAAATTCTTGTGTGAATGATATTTTTGGGTGTTTAATAGAGTGTGGGGAAACTCTTGTGTGAATGATATTTTTGGGTGTTTAATAGAGTGTGGGGGAACTCTCTGTTTTCCTCTATTTCAACGACACTCACTCCTTTTAATCAAGACTACTAAGGGTTGGTTGTATCAGAGTTTTTAGGGTGGTTTTGGTGTCTCAAGGATGGAATATCAGTGTATGGTAGTGTATATTTGGAAACCGGAGTTTTTGCTTCAAAGCTTAAACTTCTCTATTTTTCTCTCTAACTTTCTTTTTTTGAAATCAATCCTCCACTCCTAACAATCTGGTCATCTTCATATAGGCAATACAAGAATGCTTAGTGGAGATGGTGGTAGAGGACAAGGTTGAAAACAAAGGCCATAAAATGACAAAGGCCAAGGACTTTGTTGAACAGACCAGCTCTCTTGAAAATGAGAGATGAGTAGACACACACCCTGCAAAGCTCAATCAAGCAAATGGGATGGGACAAGGTGGAAGGCAAGGATGATGGAGTGATAAAGATGGTTGTATTGGATGCTCCTTTTGGGGTAAGAGACAAATGCTCTTTTGACATTGGAGACTAAACGAAGATAATGGGTAGTTGTAGACAAGCCCGCGGGGGGACCTCGCTACAGCTCGGACTCGACTTTTTGTAGTCACGGTTCTAAGTCTGAACCAAAGAGTCCAAATCCGGCAAATCGTTTTGAGAAAACAGATTTTTTGAAAGAAGTGCCAAACATGGACTGCTTTGCCAGATACGTGAGCCGCTAAAGAAATTCTCTTTCAACTTCCTGAATGTGCAAGCTGTGAGCAAACTATCTGAACCGGCCTGGTGACAAACACCAACTCTCTCAACTTCCAACAGCTCCGCAAGCTTGTTCAATCCACCATGAAGGCTATTGCAAAACTTCATAAGATGCTTGATGTCATAAACGACTGGAAAGTACATGTCGATCAGAGCAAAGAACCCAGCTTGTGTTTCGGGTAAATCATGACATGTCAATAGCTTGAGCAAGTACCCAAAATCATACCCACTATGGAATGTTACCCAATAAACATTATCATTCAAAACAATCCCTGATGACATCAAAAGCTCTCCGAACACTGAATTGGAACAAAACATTTCATTGTTTTTTTTGAAAGAGGTTTTGCTACCCGCAGGTAGGCTTGAAACATTTGATGATTTATTCCAATTTAAGTAACCCAACCTTCACCCACAGGCATTCAGGTAGTTATATCACATAAGCAAATAGCCTCATGGTAAGCATGTTATCATGGCAGTCACTCACACGCATGCAAGGATGCTAAAGCATAAAGCTTACCGAGTACTCAAGCCAAAACAGAAACTTCATTAGAAATCATGCATGATCCTAAGTATACAGAAATGCCTAATGCAACACATGCAAAAATGCAACTATAGCCGGCTCGGTTATCCTAAGATGGCATATGAAATGCTACAACTATCATGTGTTCAATTTGGAATTGAAAATACAATGCAGTTAGTATGATGCGCCGAGCCCGGTGCATGCAAAACAGATGAATGAATGCAAACATGCTATCATACTGTATGCTAATTGAAACATGCCCTAATCTAACCATCATAAGTGGATAAATAAAAGGGAAGAAAGACGTGGGGTTGGAAGACATACATCACACTCACGCACACTTATTACAGTTGTGCCCTCGCGCAGAGGGTCCGAATAAATAATACAGTCCAAATATTGCAGTCCCGAATAAAAGAATATTACAGTCCAAAATATTACAAAATCCTAATTAATTAACAAATTAACTAAGAAAATAAATAAAACTGGCATGCAAGCCAGGGACTGCCTTGCTTCTGATGGACGATGCATGTCCGAATTGTCTTGCGCGGAAATCCATCAGAATGCCCCGATTAGCCTCTGTTTACACATGTTCTTGAAATGCGCGCCAAGCCCCAAAAGGTTGCTGATTCTTCGTTTTGCTGCAACAGAGAGCAGGAAAGGGGCATAGCAATGTATTTGCACAGATATATGCATGTCTCGATCCTCGTGCCACCAATCACGCATACCGAGGCATGATGGCCGAGGAGTCGAAATGCACAACTCAATATAGGATGAATGCACATGAAACTACAGCTAAAACCTAACTCCTTCATGGATAATCCGGAGTGTCGGTGACTGGGGAATTGAGATACATTCCGTCACTCGGAGTACGAAATTTACCACGTTTCCCATGCCCGGGCTAACTCCTATTCCGGACATGATGCAATATGCATGATATGCATGAAATGCAACTAAGATACAATCCTAACATACACAATACTGTGAGAATGATACGCCTCGAAATGCGTGCACACAGGCACGCAAACCGAGGAAATACGTGAATGCGATCTAAGATACAACCTAGTATGCACTATGCTGTGAAAATGATATGCCTCGAAATGCGTGCACACGGGCACGCAAACCGAGGAAATGACATAATGCAATCTGAGTGACTAAAATGGTATGGGAAAGGTAACATGGACTTATACTAACATGAGAGAGCCTCAGTCACACTCATATAAGAAGCCGGTTGATGAAAATGAAGTGCCTCGAAATGCGTGCACACGGGCACGCAAGCCGAGGCAATGGCATACGCAATGCAAATGACATGGAAATATGATATGGGCTTATACCAACATGAGTGAGCCTCAGCCACACTCACATAGGATGCCGACGGATAAAAATGAAGTGCCTCAAAATGCGTGCACACGGGCACGCAAACCGAAGCGATGATAAAATGTGATGAAATGACATGAAACAGAATAATGGACTTATACCAACATGAGTGAGCCTCAGCCACACTCACATAGGATGCCGGCGGATAAAAATGAAGTGCCTCGAAATGCGTGCACACGGGCACACAAACCGAGGCGATGACAAATGTGATGCAATGAACAAGGAAACATGAATATGGGCTTATACACAACATGAGTGAGCCTCAGCCACACTCAACATAGGATGCGGCGGATAAAAATGGAGTGCCTCGAAATGCGTGCACACGGGCACGCAAACCGAGGCAATGCAAAATGTGATGCAAATGACAGGAAACATGATATGGGCTTATACCAACATGAGTGAGCCTTAGCCACACTCACATAGGATGCCGCGGATAAAAATGAAGTGCCTCGAAATGCGTGCACACGGGCACGCAAACGAGCGATGACAGAATGTGATGCAAACAAGGAAACATGATATGGCTTATACCAACATGAGTGAGCCTCAGCCACACTCACATAGGATGCCGGCGGATAAAAATGGAGTGCCTCGAAATGCGTGCACGCGGGCATGCAAACCGAGGCGATGACAGAATGTGATGCAATGACAAGAAACATGATATGGGCTTATACCAACATGAGTGAGCCTCAGCCACACTCACATAGGATGCCGGCGGATAAAAATGGAGTGCCTTGAAATGCGTGCACACGGCACGCAAACCGAGGCGATGGCAGAATGTGATGCAAATGACAAGGAAACATGATAGGCGTATACCAACATGAGTGAGCCTCAGCCACACTCACATAGGATCCGGCGGATAAAATGGAGTGCCTCGAAATGCGTGCACACGGGCACGCAAACCGAGGCGATGGCAGAATGTGATGCAAATGACATGAATGGATAGCAATCATTCTAATGGAATTTCAGCACTAAAATATGGGGAAAACAGTCCCGAAATGAGGCGAAATGACACCAAATGCATGGAATAGTCCCGAAATGCAACATTAGGCACCCGAAATGGCCTATAGCTATGCCAAACATGCACAATATGGACATGCAATGCAAAGACAGAAGCTAGGCAGTCCCAAAAAAGGCACTTTCACAGTTATAAACATGGCCAAACAGCAAGCATAGGTAGGGTAGAAATGACATGCAAGAATAGGGGCCAAAAGAGGGTAATGAAGCAAGTGATATAAGCAAAATCCAAACTGAAAAATTTCCTTCTACAACATTGAAGCGGGACCAAAAATATGAATGTTTACAGTATATGGAAAGCCTCGAATCAATATACAAACATGCTAAAAATGCAATGCAAAACAGGCTAAAAAAATGGCTATAACATGAAGTATGCAAAATAGTTCACCAAACAGCCCAAAGACCCTTAATAAACATTGTAGAATTGGGCCAAAATAGGACTATTTCCCGAAACTGTAAAATGGCCAAAAACAAAGAATGAACAGGCTAACTGAAACATGGCAAGAATGGGAATAAAAGAGAGATATAACATGAAGTGGCATATTGGAGTCCCAAAACATGAGCAAAAGACTAAATAAAACATGAAGAATAGACCGAAGATAAGAACTTTCAGAATTGTAAAATGGGCCAAAAAAAACAAAAAGCAATGGTAGCGCTTGCCATTGCATTCAAAAATAGGGACAAAAGAGGAGTATAAAGGTAAGACAACATGGAAGTCCCAAATGGTGTTGCAGCCCTTCTTCCAATGTGAGAGGGATCAAAAAAGCCTAATATCAGTTATACAACATGCTCAAAAACAGATTACCTCATGGCCAAAAAATAGCATGCAGATTTATGACATATAAGCAGGATCAATGAAGCAAGGTCGTATCATGGAGGGCTCAAACAGGGTTGAGCCCTAATGAAAGTGAAGATGAGCTCAAAAGAGGCCATTTCAGTTGGGGCCGGAGCGTTGAAACAAAAAGCATGTGGGCTAAAAATGGATCAAGAAAAAGGTCAAAGTGAAGAAATGTGTTGCTCACCCTTGAAACATAAATGCTTTTGTTGCTTCTTGGATCAATTTGCAGCTCCTTTAGCCTTGAGAAGCCTTCCTTGTTGCTGGAAATGAGGTGGTGGTGGTAGAGCTTGGTGGTGTAGAAGAAATGGTGCTTACGGGACTTAGAGATTTCAAGGAAATGAGAGTATAGAGATGGAGTTATGTATGGAAGCTTGAAGAGTAAGTTTTCTAACCCCAACATAATATCTAGCTGCTGTTTTAAAGGCCAAAAAGGGGTGCAAAGGTGGGGGAAAAGGAGGGTAACTTTCCCCCCACAAAATATCCCCCGGATAAAGATCTTTTCTGGGGATAAAGCTCCACAGCTGTAAAGTGCACAGTGCAAAGATCTCGGCCGTTTTGGCAGCAGGTACCTGTTTGCTGACAGGTGGCCGGCCAGGTGCATCCACCACCCCGCATAGCCGTCGCGGCTGGGTCAAAAGGGTCAGAGTAGCATTAATGGCCGGCCACCAACTTTTTTAGGTCCTCCCATGTGTGTTACATCACAATATGTGGTTCAAAGTTCAAGAAAATGGGCCCAAGGGTTCAACATTAGCTCGGAAGGAGGGGTCAAAAGGTCAAGTAGCATTCAATGGCGCCACCAACTTTTAGGGTCCTCTCATGTGTGTACATCACAAATATGTGGTTCAAAGTTCAAGAAAGTGGCCCCAAGGTGTTCAACATTAGCTCGGAAGGAGGGGTTCAAAAGGGTCAGGTGGAATTACTGGCCGGCCACCAACTTTTAGGATCCTCCCAAGTGTGTACATCACAGATATGTGGTTCAAAGTTCAAGAAAGTGGCCCCGAGGTGTTCAACATTAGCCCGGAAGTGTGAAAAACGGGCGTCGGAGGATATATAACTGGTTGCTGCAACAATTACTGGCCTCCCACCCTTCAGTGACCTTCCCGGTGATAAAACAGAGGTACCTGCCAAAAATGAACGAAAACCGTTGCAAAACGAATGTTCGGGGGCCAAAACGCGCAGTTCGGGGTCCCGAAAATGGGCTGTTAAGCACCGAAAGTGGCATTCAGCCACGAAGTGGGCTTCTTAGACCCCAGTGTCCCTTGAAAGGGAGAAAATAGGGAGTATGCCAAAAACCGGAGCAATAGGAGATGGTTAAGCGGTCCCGAACCGAGGCATACGGCCTGACGGCTCCGGAAACCGGACTCCGAAATGGGAAAAATGGCCTACGGCCACCAAATGTAGCCTACGAACATTGAGAGATGGTTTACGGAACCTCTCCCTTCCCTCAGGAAAAGAAACAAAGAAAACCGAGCCTGGTTCGCAAACCGAGGCAAAGTACAAAAGAGGGTTCGGAAGTCCGGAGGCAGGGCTCACGGTCGTGACTCTGAAGCTTCTGAACAAGCACATTATGCA